TTATCCCTTGCCGGTCGAGAATCCTGGTCGCACCAGGATTTCCTCGACCTTTCCTCATTCATCTGGACTACTTAAGATAGGATCTGGCCGACCCTGCCAGCTGGTCCGGGTTTCATTATTTGGCCCATAGCATGTGTCATTACCTTAGGCCGAGCTCATCTTGCTGCTCGGCCCAACCATAATATTTTGGGCCCAAACAATCCCTCAATTATCTTAACAATTCTGCCATCCAACGGTTGTGAGCTATGCTCATTCAACGGTCTAGATTACTCGGGCCTATAATGTAAAATTGGGTCCAAACACATACTTATCATTTTAAAAGAAGACTCTTAAATCCCTATTTAATTCAGTACTAAAATTTTGAAAAAACAAAAAATAATTTAAAATAATAAATAAATAATGGTGGGTGGGGTGTGATATCTTTGGTGGAAAGAGGTTGGGAAAGATTTGGGTTAGAATCGACGGAAAGGTTGGAGGAATGAATGGTCGTGTGCTAGATGAAGGCGAGAAACTTCATTGGGGAAAAAAAGAGAATTGGGTGTGAGATATGCGGTTTTGACAAAAAAGGAGGAAGAAGAGTGGTTTGGGGATCCGGGGTCTTTGCAAGACGGCGTTAGGTGTGAAGGAGATGATGAATGTCTAGGTCTTAGGTCTTGCATTTTCTTTCATTTTTTTTCTATGTTTTATTTATTTATAATGTTATTTAAAGATATATTAGAGTTATTTAAAAAAAAATATTATGGTTATTTTGGGAATAATGGTGGGTGGGGAAATAACATTTTACTTTTTTAATTTTCTATGGTGGGTGGAATTATCATGTGGGTCGGAAAATAAGATACTGAGATGGGTCTAGTAGCACTCTATTTTTATTCTTCACTACCACGTGGTAGTTTCTTGGCCATCACTAGGGTTTATTTGGTAACATGTCACAAGTGATCATTCAAAGCAAGAGTATCATAAAGTATCACAAGACTTGCATCTTTGTCAACCATACATAGACTAACATATACAGTTGTTAAATCTTTAATAAATTTCTTCTTCATAAAAAAAAAATTAAAAATATATACAGTTATTAAAGGGAAATTTTATTTGAACCTATTTAACTTCTCTCTACACTCAACTTACTATATACACCCATATTAATTTTTATTAAAGAATTAATATCTCTTTAAACCCAAAGTTATTACCTAAACTATCCTCCCAAACCCAGTTCAAAATGTAAAATTATCTTTACACTCATTTATAACATTTCCCATGGCTGCAAATGCAAACTCCTTCATGTTTCCATGGTCGCCATCCCTGACACATGCACATACGCATACACATGGCCTCTCTCTCATCACCAACACCAAGTAGTTACAGTAGTTGTGCATCAAATTCAAACTGTTAAGTGTTTGATGCTTCTGGGATGTTCAGTCCACGGACGGAGTTTTCAAGAAATGGGTTGTGTAATGGCGTGAAGAACAAGCAAGCAAGAACAAGATGGCGGACAACACCAATGGTTGTTGGAGCGGTAATGATGAAGCTCAAATGGGTGTTTCAGTTGGGGGGTGGAGCAGCTTTATCTCGGAATGGACTTGGGCACTTCCGGTGCGAGGTTTGCGCTAATCGACATGCAAGGGACTATTCATGCTGAATGAAAGAGAGAGTACCCCTTTTTTTTTTTTTTTTTGGCTTAGAAAAGTTCCACAAACACAACTTTTGAATTGTGGGTGATACGATGCTTAAAGAAATGAGAGTTTTAACGAAAAGCCCATGATACTGTTCACTTTAATGAAAAACCACATTTTTACACTAAAAAGTCAATCCTAGTACTATTCATTTTATCATTTATTTTGTCTTTATCATTAAAATTAAAAGTTTTTAAGCCATTTTCATTAGTTTTTCTTAAAGAAATCTCACCTTAGCAGCCTCAAAGTGCACTAAGAGCTTGTAGTTGAAAACTAACATTTTTCTTTTCACCTTGTCTGGTTGCAACTCCTTATCAACAGCTAATGTTGCATAGACAATAGAAGCACCTTCCTAGGACTAAAAAAGCTTGTTTTTCTCTATAAAAGTTATAGGCTTTTAGCTGAAATGAAGGTAAAATAAGCAAGGAGTCATGGTGGCACTACAACAAAAATGGTCACTGCACACAATAAATTATCTGTGCCCTTTGAGGCCAAAGAGCACCAACATATGTGTCCATAGACCAATAGCAACAGTGCAGCTACTATCTTAGAGTCTGTGCCCTCTATGGGCGTCACCATTGCTAAAAGGGCACAATAATGTATGTTGTGCTGAAACACGTAAGCACAAATAAAGGTCTTTTTGTGCCCAGTTCTGACAAAATTGTCAGATGGCTGCAGCCACCCCTGGTAGCACATTTATTATTATTGTGCCCAATATGTCACCTATTTAAAAAAAATATTAAAAACCAAAATCACCTACAAATTGAGATTGAGGCTAAACAAAAAATTATTTTTTCATATAATTAAAACATCCCACAACCACAAGCATCTATAATATTACAATTTACAGAGATATTCACAACCATTGTATATAAAAACAACTAGAATTTTACATGTTCTATCCCCAACTAAAATAAAACTAAAATTATAAAGGTTTTAAGTGAATATCGGTTCTCTCAGGAATAAGAACATCAAATATTAAGGTTTTAAGTGAACCCGCACAGTTCTTTTTCTCATGTTCGAGTCGGCAACCTGGTCAGGGTGGCTTTGGTGGTTGATGGGTTTCGATGTGGCCATCGCGTATAGAGAGGGAAAAAAAATGATTGCCTGCTTCTGAACTGGGTTTTTTTGAATGGCCCCGCCAAGTACCCCAAGCATCCATTTTTCTTGTACCTGCATCACCATGATCAAGCTCTCCTATAATCGCAGCAACTCCCCCATTCAAATCTGACCCTAAATCATAAATAAAATAAAATAAAATTCAACATAAAAAGAAAAGGTCAGTACGTATGATTCGAGTTCACGTTGCTCAGGGTCACCGACGCTGTTAAGTTTATTCATCATTGCTCGATCACTCTTGTTAATTTTCTTTTTCGTTTGGTTTGGTTTCGGCTTTTCTTTAACAGCGTAGGCACACAAAACCAATCAAATTCATTCACCTACGTAAGCCACAAAAGCATGAATATTTTGTTTCAAATTTCAATCCCAAAAAACAGAACCAATCAAATTCATTCACCAATTGATGCACACCGCACACAACTTTGTAACTCAATCCCTATTATTGCACACAAATTCTTGACTTTTAACACAAAGCCCACCTCCAATTCCACATAGCAAAAGCTGGGCAATCAATAATTTCAATCCTAACTAAAACTTTTAACACAATTATAACCGAAACAACTCTAATCACTTTACCTAAAAAAAGAATGGATAGAAAGTGGATGTACCTGTAATACGAAACTGGCTGAAGTGAAGAACACAAAGATTTGTGCTTTGCTGCTCAAATTTGTAGAGTGAGAGAAAGTACCCAGAACCAAAATCATATTAGGGTTGAGAAATTGGAATTTATTAGAATTAGGGATTCATTAATACAACTATGCCTCAGCCCAATTTTTTTTTTTTTTTTTCATTTGGCCTAAAATCGAAACAACCAAAAACTTCAAGTTAAAAAATTAGAGAAATAAATCTGAAATTTTAGAGAGACAAAGTGAGGAGAGAGTAATAGGCGGAGGACCTTGGGCGAGGAGTCCATTGACGGCTTCGTTGGGGAGGACCTGAGCGCAGTTTTTCACAATCTCCTTTAAGCTTTGCACCAAAAATTAAAAGCAACATATCATGATTGAAGAACACAGCAGCTGAAGAGCACTGCCGCAGTTCCATCAAGTAACACGACCAGTACAGCAAAGCAAGAGGGAAATATGGAGTCCTCTCTGTCTGGTATACTTCCAGCCCTTCAAGTGTGCTCCTGCATTCCTGAAGATGCTGATTGACTTGTTCCTTGAACTTGTCATAAATCACCTTCAGTTGTTCTTGTTGCTCTGCATAAAAAAAAGGTGGGGTTTCAGGCATAGCTTCAATGAGAAAAAATTCCAATTCCGGGCACACACAGGCTAAATTGATTATACACATGCAGGCTAAATTGATTATATACATTGTGATATCCATAAAGCCCTCCCTCCAAGAAGAAAATATGGAGTGTGAAAAAATTTCAACTCAGTATAACTCATGGATTTCCAATATATTAAATGTTGAAAGCTAGACCATCCAATCTAATACCAATAGCCAATAAATGGATAAAAGTAAATTAAATTATTGTGATACAACAATTATAATGTCCGATGTGAGATTCTTTATTCTCAACACAAACCCTCATGTGCAAACTAATTGGGTCAAACAAGTGGTTTAACATATTAGGTGAAGTTGAGCACATGTGGCCAAATTGGACATGGGACAAGATGAATTGCCGTTTTGATACCATGTTAAGTTGGAGCTTCCAACCAAAACCAGTTACCAATGGATAGGGAGGCCTAGGATTTTACATATTACGATGAAAGGCCTATAATGTTTGATGCCAGACTTCATATTCTCAACATAAGCAATTTAAAACATGTAAAATTAAAACAAGTGAGCCCTATTTCCTATTATGGTATTGGTATATCATATAGTCTTATAGCCAAACAAACAACCTCACGACTAAGGGGTTAAAAGGAACAAATTTCCTGGTAAAACTTGCAAAATCACCCAATGCAGGCGAGTTTTGCAGAAAAACCAGCAAATTTAATTTGAGGAAATAATCACATAATTGAAACCACTAAAGAAAGGGTGATTATGATCAATGAAATAAGTGATTATCAAGATATCTAAATATAACTCTTTTCACATGTCATAAACATATCTGTGTGCAACGGGAGTGTGTACAGTTCATCTTGGTCAGAAAATTGTCAACCACCCTTAAACAGAAAAGTGAAAGGAAATAAATATTTGGAGATGGAAAAATAATTTTAATATTAGTTACTTATTAGATTCAAATTAATTAATTCCAAACATAATAATAATCAATTGAAAGTATCAGAAATACAACTTTCAGTACCTTCAAACCTTGTTTCCAGCCTTTTTTTCTTTGATTTACTGAGGTTTGTATGCTTTCCTCTGAAAATCATCCAAAACAACTTAGAGATTGTTGAAATTAATAGGGAAACCTCAAACGTCTCAGTTGAAAGTACCTACATGTCTGTTTGAATCTGAGACTCAATGGTTTGCAGCTGCATATGTACCTCCGCGGCAACAGAGATCAAAATTTCAGAGGATTTCCTATGAGTTGCGCACTTCATTTTGGTTTTAAGTTTTACTAATTCCAATGTAAACAATTCAACAGCCCTGAAACATTGTCAAGTGCAACACATACATCACAAACGCATAGCAAACATAGAAAGCTAGTACATATACGGCACCAAATCACATATGACAACACACAGAACAGAGAGAATAAAAACCTAGCCAGTCCATCCTCTTGATTATGCTCTGAAGGTTCCTCTATCCAGTTGTCTTCTTCAGTCCCTGCAACATGAAAATATTACTGCAGATTAAGAGCGGGTGAGGTAGCTGAAATATTTAACTGAATAAATGTGGTGCTTTGTGGGCTGCAAAGCCTTTCATCTGAAAAAGTTTGAATTTAGTTTTTCAGCAGTACTAGTTTCCGGAGCAAATGTATCTATTTCTAAGAAACCTACACAACAGTAAGGTAAACGAAGTGGCTATCATTCTTCCATGTGGGGCAGGGGGAAAGAAACATATCCAGCTTCTTACATCATGCAACATACAATTAAAATCAAAAGATGCTTAACCAATCAAGCAAGTTTAACTTCAGCAGTTAATATTTTTTCAAAAATGCATTTATCCTACAGTTTAGATAAGGGTCTGGGTGAACATACAGTTGGATCCTTGGATAATAGGAGAACCTTCTCCACAACTCCTCAAGTCTCCCTCTTCAGATGGTGATGAAAGAAGGCCATCTTCGCCACTGCTACTTCTCTCTTCGCCGTCCCGTACGCCGCTCTCATACCTGCAAAACACAAAAAACCCGAACAAAATCATATGTTTCTTAGATCTGAAATTGAAGAAATTTGGCTATGAATTTGTAGAAGCTAACTTGAGGATCGGAAAGATGATGGGAAGAGGATTATGAAGGTATAATTTGACGGTCTGTGGTGACAAGTGGAAGGCGGCGCTGTTGCCTGAAATATATGGACAGGAAGGATACGGAAAGGAGAGTGAAGGGGAAGGAAGAGACAGGATGAAGGGATGAGAGAGAAGACTAATAACCTTTTTTCATCTTCAAGTTTTTCATATTTTTTTATTGTTATTTTGCACAAAAGGCACAATTATTTTTATACGCGCCGTTTGAAATCTAAAAAGTATATAGTGCAAATAATTCAAAATGTACATTTGAGGGTGGTATTCTTATTTTATTTAAAACAAAAGCACAAAAATATTAGTGTGTCAGTTTGAAATTAATAAACAATCTTATTATTATGGAATAGGAAAAAGTAAATATGTAAAGGACACCAAAAAAACATATTTTTTATTTAAATATATTAAATTAGAGGGCACGAAAACTGCTATCGTGTCTTTGTAAATTAATATAAAATTTTCATTTCTGATATTGAAGGGACACGTGAAAGTTGGATGGACATTTGGGCACAAAAGTCTTGATTTTCGTGCCCAATAATGTGTTTGTGTCAACTTTTTTAACATTTGGGCACAATACTTGGTGCCCTTTATAAAATGTGCACTGTTCCACCTTTTTAGTGTTCAAAGGGACACAAACTCCTTATCTGTGTCCTCAATTTTGTATCCATAGCCCATTTTTTTTGTAGTGTGGGGTTTAATTATAGTGTGTGGGTTTATTGATAAATTTTAGTTTCATTATTAATTTCATCTTGTACTTGATGGTAATTATGCAATAGGGTAAAAAAATACAATTAACATCTGAAATTTAAGTTGAGTGTAAAAAGATGTTACATGAGTTTAAATAAAATTTTCTGTTATTAATTAAATCTTTGCCGCTATCATCCGAGAAATCCTAAACAGTGTGAAAGTCATGCAACATGTCTAAAACCATCCTAGATCCTACACATTCTAAATCACACGAGTTTTCATCACATCATGGAACTTAGGTGATGAATGAAGGTCAGTAGAACGTTGGAATTTGCCATCATCATGAAATTCAGGAGGTGCCGATTTTTGAATTAATTTTGGATATATGGGCGGATTTTGAATTTGAGATTTTGTCGGGGTAGTCGTCGTCCTCATCTTTTTGAAGAAGGAGGGGAGAAAGAGGGAGAAAAAACGAGGATGGGTTGAGTTTGTTTGAATTCTTTTATTGTGAAGCCGTTAAGATAAAAAATCACCGGCTTAAAATAATCCGAAACTAAGGTCCGCACATAAGGTCTCACATTAGAAAATTAATAATAGCATTAAGTTTCATTGGGATTAGACCTGATAATTTTCTACACGACCGGTGACACGAAAATAACTGGTTTCGAGTCAACACGATAACTAATCGAGTCATTATCGGGTCACCCGTCAATTACCATTAATAACGAGTTTACACGCAGGTAACCTTGGGTAATCCGTTCCAACCCGTTAAGAAAAAAATTATTTTGATAATTTTAAAGTTAAACTACTAAAAAAAGTTATAAAATACAATAGTCATAGTGTAGATATTTTATATTAAATATGTATTATTTATTATTCTAAATAAGTTTAAAAAATTAAGTTTTATTTATTTATTTTTATTATGATTGTTTCTTATTATCATTACTATGATACATTTTACTTGATATGTTGTCTAAATTTACAAATTTTGTCACAAAATACTGTCTAAAAAATATCAACACGACAAGTCATCTTGTGAAAATTCAAGACCAACCACGGGCAGATATCTACTAAACCCTATTTAAACTACCCTCGATATCAACTAAAACTTTCAAGTCTTTGAGTAAGAGAGATTATACTCACATATTCCTAATTACCTCTTCCATACTCTTTTAATTTTTAATATGTTTTTATCAAGTGTTAGTGGTGTATCAAAAAAGATTATAAAAATCAAAAGGTGTGGGGGAAGTAATTTAGAATGTGTGAATATAATCTCAAATTTAAGAGGAACAAGAACTTCCCACTTCTCCAAATTGTTGTATGGATGAAGCAAACAGATTGAAAGAAAAAAAAAACAATTATATTACTGGATAGAAAATCAAAATTGGAGTTTTATGTTATGGATTTGGATACCATATGGATCACATTCTACCTCTTCATCGACATTGTATATCGTGCGAACATAAACATTTTGAATTTTTTTATTTAAAATTAAATATAAATAATACTGAACTAAAGTTGGTTGCACGATAAACCATGAATGGATAAAATGTGAATATTCCTATAATTCTCACAAAAAGAATCCGAAAAGGATCCTCATCCTTATTATATGGGTTCTATTTGCTTATCAGAGAGTTGCATAACAACACAAGACCAATTAACACAACAAAGCAAATGAAAGGTTTATTTGGGAGAATTGGATACACATCGGGAAGATTGAAACCAAATGAACAAAAATACATAAATCGAATTTATCACCAAAAAAGAAAGGTTAAGTGGAATGTCGCATAATCAAATTTGAAAGTAGGAAGAAACTCTAACTGATATGTCGATATGAACCTTTTGCTATCAAATTTGACATGTGAAAAAAAATTGTTGTCAATTAGTTTTCTTATTATTTTATTGTGTGTGTTCTATTAATGCACCAATTATAAATTTTAAGATTTATTTTAATTGATTTTTTTTAAATGAATCCTACAAATATCAATTATAACAAAAAAAAAAAACTTAGAGAAAAAAAAAATATGACATTGTGCAGAAAAATAATTCAAGCTCGAGCATAAAAAATCGAACATACTGCTTTGATCAACTGGCCTAATTCATATAAGTCAAAAACCAATTTGTTTGGATGAAAGCAAATTTGAGTGGGTCTAGAGATGGGGCTGCAAAGTCCACACTTCTCTAGCTCTTAGTCCACTCAGCAACCTCTCTCCCTCTCCCCCTCTCTCAGACAAAAATTCAAATTCTAGCCCTTGCCACGAGAGATTTTTGGGACTTCCTACTTGCTTAGAGAAGGATAAACGGAAACTTTTTTGTTCAATCAAGGACCATGTTTGGAACAAAGTATACGAAGGGGAAGGCAAATTGATTTCTCAGGGCGGAAGATAAGTGTTGACTGAAGCAATGTGGCAAGCTAAACTTATGCACGTAAAGAAGTGGGTACTTCACTACTTCAACTGCAATGTTAGAGGTCACTCGTATGGATGCTTTATCTATCTGTTTGATAGGATTAGCGATTTAGCTGCAAAAACATAAACAACTAAATAAAAACAATGTCTAAAATGCACCTGCCAATGGTTATATATATAGATTACAATACAATACGCAGGTAAATACAGCAGCTAGTAGAAATTAGAATCATCAATCTCAATCAGGTCAGCAATAACACCTATCACTTCGATCAAAACCTTGGCATGCCCTTGACTGCCCCGCCGTCCCATTCGGTGGGAAAAGGTCGCAAGAGAAGCGCGTCAGTTGGGAAGTATCCAGTCCAAACAACGTAGTATTATACCTAAAAAAACCCAGCAGCTTCAGCCACAGGCTCCCCGACCCATAACAACTTGGGGAGGTGGAGGAAGAGGAGGAGGAGATGATTAGATCGTTGGCCGCGTCGGTTCCGATGTACGACCTCGCCATTACCACCGAGAAATCAAGAGTGGTCTGGTTCATCTTACTTACATAGATGGGAGGCAACGGCGCCGTTCCCAGCTTGAGATTGCTGTCGCTTGCCTTGTCGTCGACGTCGCCGTAGAAGATATAGGCTTGAAGGTTCTCGTAATACAAGTCCAGCTTCCGGTTGGGATTTATAGCAACCAGCGTCAAGTCCCACGTGGCGGTTACTCACTGCTGGATGCGGCGGTGAGTGGGCACGGCGACACGGCTACCAAGTCGACCCGGAACTCAGGGAATTCAGGGCTGAGCTTCGCGTCACGCAATAAAGTCCACGCCAAGGCTGTGGCGAGAATGATTGCCAATAGCGCAGCGAAGCAGACGAAAACAATTTCACAAAGCCGTCCGGCGGAGGAAGACTTTGCCAGTCCCATTCGATCTTTTAATTCACTATCCTTTAGCCTTATTCGGCAGAATCGATCAGACCAACCGAAGGGGAGAGAGAGAGAGAGGGAGAGAGAGAGAGAGAGAGAGATGGGGATGGGATTAAAGCAGAGGGTGTTGAGCATGTAAATAGGTAGGTGTTTCCAAAGCCTAAAGTCGCAAGGATTTCCAGTTCCAGTTGAACTCGGAGTTTACTGTTTACCCAACATGACCACTCTATTTTTATAAACCTGTTTGGGAGCTAGGATAAGAGACCAGATAGCATTAATGAACGGATTAGGTTGTGTAAATTAGCCACTGGATTAAATAATCTTGTCCTACCAATTTTAATACGCTTCATACGCGTTTATTTATTGGAAGTTTTAACGAAAAGTCACGGTACTCTTCATTTCAACAAAAAAATCATATTTTTACATTAAAAAGTTAATCTTGGTACTATTCACTTTACCCTTTATTTTGTCCTTATCATTAAAACTCAAATATTTCAAACTATTTTCATTAGTTTTCCTTTATTTGTTCTTTCTAAAACGTTAATATAAATATTCCTGAAGTTGTTGTAAACCCGTTGTGGGATGCTCATCGTTTTGATGGTAAAAAACTTGAGAAAAGTTGTATTAAATGTGAAAAGTATTTTTGTCGATTGGTTCGTGATTGGGGACATGATATCTACTATGTGGTACGTTTGATATACCAAACTGGTATCATGAACACGGTATTTGGGAAAGGAGGTGCACTTAAGAAATAAATCATGAAACTTGTAGAAGTATATCATGTAACAAGACAAACACCAAGTAACCAACGTAACG